AGGAGAAGCAGAGGAGGATCTGCTTCCTAGAGGATTTAGAAGACGGTTTAGAGAGGAAGACAGTGAAGATGTGACAAGTCAAACATTTCCGCTGGCCTTTTGTTGTGGGCAGTCTGAGGTACACCTGTGCACTACTCATGATGTCAGATCAGCATCCTGATGTGGCACACCTGTGAGGTGGGATGGATTATCTCAATATAGCAGATGTGCCCACTACCACACATTTGGACTGATTTGTGACCACTGTTTGGGAGGGATGGTTATATTGTGTATCTGGAATGAATTTTAGGTCTCTACGTCCATCCCATGGGGAATGGGAGCAGTAACAAAGGTGTTGCGTTTATATTTTTGTTGAGTGTAGAATGTCATATGACTGAATACAACTGCACCACTCAATATAAACCAACAAACCAACAGAACGTCCACCATTTTCCTTCCATAACCTTTCTTAGCCCTAGAACACTATCGCCGGGTGATTTTCACCTGAGAAGATATATTTACATGATTTTCAATATGTTGCATTTGTCTGAGTGTCATGAGTCCTTGGGTAGCTTCAGCATTGTGTTTGACGTATTCGAAGGTGTTGGTGTTTCCCTACCCCAAAGCCCGCTTTTTCCTACAAACATGTGTTCGGGTGATTTTCACCCAGCAATAGTGGTGGAGGGTAAAGTAGGTTTTGGGTGGATTTCACTCTGTGATGGTGTTAGTGTATAAAACTTCACGTCCTGATCTTTAGCGTGCACGACATCCCTATCCCTGGCACTCTTGCAGCTGAGGCAGGACCAGTGGCAGCAGAAAGCAGTAGTCCCTTAGTGAGGTGTGCTGACTGTCTTGGACAGGAAGTGTATCCACACCATTACTACCCTGCGTGTATTGACTGCATGTAAGGAATTAAGGAAGTAAAAGTGGTCCTGGAATTTGCACGTTATCCTAATTTATTGCAGTGGTTATGAATACATATCACAAAAGTGTTATTTCCAAGGGAATTCATATGATGAAAAAAATATTTAGGCAAATGTTCATTTTTACCCACCAAAAAGTGCATTTTTTTTTGTTTCTCTCTCCTGCAGCTGTTTGCATGTCGAGGAAACTGTGCTTTCACCAGAGAAGTCTCAGATGTCCCAGGAATGGGTGGACCAAAGACCAACTTTCCAGTGTCATTAATTTTTTGTTCAGGAATTTTTTGTTCTCGAATTCCTAATTTTTCAGTAATTTTGGAGCATTTGTTTTTGGAGCATGGCACAGCTGAAAATAAAAGAAGACCACTCTAATTTGTCATGTGTTGTCATATTTTGATATATTTTGACGCCAAGTGCTTTTTGTTAGGTATATTATATCGGGTAAAAATCACCTGGCATTAGTGATGGTGTTACTATTTATAGCAATAGTGTTCTAGGGTTAAAGGGCACAAATTGTACTAATTTGTTTTTAGTTTTATTTCAGGATCTTCTTGAATAGGTTTAACAATAACATGAGTAATAATACAACATTCATTATAAATACAGAGAGAATAGAATGCATGTGATAAACAGATATGATCTGTCTCCTGCTCACCCTGTTCATAAGAGTATTTAAGCCAGATGCCGGGTCCGTGGTTTTCCAGTTTCTATGTGAGTTGTATATGTTTTTGGGTTTTTTTTTTCACATTTACAATGATATTTATAAAGGCTTTATAAATAAATCCTATCTTCAACATCTTCCTTGGATCCTCAAAGATCTCAGTGCTGCCCCCAGGTGTCCCTTGGTAACATTTAATGAAGCCCCTCTAGCAACAAGGAAAGAATGGCCCTACTCTACATTTGATTCAAATTCAGTGGGTGTCACAGCACGACACACACAGCAGCCAACAGCAAAACATTTGGTGTTCTTAGTTGATGGCTGAGGCATTTTAGAGGTAGAGTTAGCAGAAGCAGTTGGAATGTATGTACAATGTACAATGTAATTGTAACACTAATAAACTCTAAGAGGTGTGTGAAAAGTGGCAGTATTTATTTAATAATAATATTAACACATTTTATCTTAAGCAGCTTTCAGAACACTGAAGGTCACCTTACACAGAACATAAAAAAGAAGAAGAAAAAACTATCAATTCAATAGGACCTGTTTATAATATATTAAATCAATCAAGAACAGAGGATTCATCTGACAAATGAAACCAGGACGTTTTAGGACGATGCATTAAAATCAAATGTTTTTGAACCAAGTTTCCAGTTTGTCTCCTTCGCATTTCATTACTCTGTTGTTTACAGCCTCTGAAAGTTGATACTTTGGGCAAAATCACATGTCATATTTCTAAATCAGTTGATAAGCTGTGTGAAGATGTTCTTGTGCAAGTGAGCAGTCAAAACAATTTGTGCACATGCGTCCGTGTTTAACCCTCCAAAAGATTATTGATGTGTTTTATACATTATTGATGCACGCTCGTACGCACTCCCTCATTAGTCACTGAATATAGCATCAACTTCAAGTAGCAGAACTTAACTCAGTAACTTTTCTTAAGCATCTAAAACACGGTTGCACTTTCTTGTACTTTTTTCTGTAATATTGTTCTTTCTTCCCTTCACTTATCAGGTAGCATGAAAAAACACTTTTTAGTGATTTCAGTCAAAGTACTGTCGAAGTCAAAGTATGTGACCAGTCTTTAAAATAGTATTGGATGCATGCTATCCATTCAACTACAACACTACATGACTTAAATAGACAAACAAACAGATTATAATGCAATCTATCATTTAGCTATTTAAGACAAGGGTCAGTCTTCTGTTTATTTTGTGCTTTTGCTATAACACCTTCTGTATGCTACATTATACAAATAGTATTTGAATATGTTTACACAACAACATGTACCTTTTGGCCTTTAGACTATCAATAGGTGCGCTTCCTGATTATTGCTGAGAGATAGATAGGGGCAATCGTGGCTCAAGAGTTGGCAGTTTGTCTTGTAATCGGAAGGTTGCCGGTTCGAGTCCCGGCTTGGACAGTCTCGGTCGTTGTGTCCTTGGGCAAGACACTTCACCCGTTGCCTACTGGTGGTGGTCAGAGGGCCCGGTGGTGCCTTTGTCAATGCGCCCCAGGGTGGCTGTGGCTACAATGTAGCTTGCCATCACCAGTGTGTGAATGGGTAAAGCGCTTCGGGGTCCTTAGGGACTAGTAAAGCGCTATACAAAATACAGGCCATTTACCAACAACTTAGGAATGAAATTAAAACAGGAGTCATAGTGATAGCAAAACACAATGAACCAAGCATAAATGACTAACATGAACATGAATCAAAACTAAAGGCCCATTAACATCAAACTCAAGCAGAAGAGAAACCAAACTCCAGAAAACTCACAACCCTCGGTCCAAGGCCATCACCTGATGTAACCGCAATGACAAAAGGGTCGGGTGAGATTAGATGTGCACAAAGTGTCCTGTTAAATTCTAAAAAGTATCAGAAGCCCAAAAGTTTACAGTTAGTGTTTAGTGTCACTTTTATTTTAGATTTACCTCACTGGTTTTGGTATAGCAGCATCTTCTTCAGCTTTTCATCACTTTTTCTGATTCAGTGCTGCCGAGCTGTTAGAAATGCAACCACACAGTGACCAAGAACCTAGACGTTAACATCAGGTTGTTTTTGTTGTAATGATGTATTTTCCTGTGCCAGAACTTCTCATATCCAAAATCTCAGTTTTTAATAAAGGCATAGTGCTGTAGTGAATCAAAAAAATCTGCTAGCATGAATGTTTAGTTTCGAATTGTAAATATAAAATAAGTAAATGTGTAATTGCCTTTACTGTCCTGCAATCTTAAAACAGAAATTATCTGTTAATTTACTGGAAAAAATGTACATCACTCTTTCAAAGCAGACTGACATACCCCAAGTTACCAATACAAGATGGCAGTACTGAACACCAACAACAGCAAACCTGTAAACTTTTTAATCTGTAATGCCACTGTTGTGCATTTTTGACTCACTAAAATAAGGCATACACAGAGACACGGATCAGGCTCTAACCATGAATCTGTCTAAAGTGCAAAAAACGGGGAAAAAAGTATTATGCTGTATTGCAAATGATAGCTGTATAATTCTACCTTTCTAGGAACCAAAACAGATCCTGTTTTTCCTGTTATTTTGTGGAAAGCACTAACTGGGGAGTGACAATGTCTGAATGTCTGGAATGTGGCATTTAAAAGTACAAAATATATGTTGTCCATCATATTTACCAAAGCCACCCCTGAGACAGATTGCAGTCTTCACAAGGCTGCTTCTGGTTCTCTGGCCTTATGTTTGACATTCCGGGGTTATATGATCAGATAACTGGTTAAATTAGGCACCTCGGGAAATGAGACGGTAGATTCTTTATAACAAATATCCCCCTTTTCAATAGAGGATATGAAAAGTCCAGTATTTGCTGACTCAAATATTGTCATAGCTTATGAGCGCAGGCATGTGTGCACACCTTTGGCAAACTTCTAAGAGGATCAGATGATGTGTTTCAAAAAAAGGTCAGACTGGATCATATAGGTCGGACCATCTAAATACATATCAGTGAAAGTAGGCCAAGCACAAACAGAGCTCCCCAGGCATGTTAGGCCACATTCTGTCATCTGTGAAGAGCGGCAGGTGTGACTGAAGCAGTCGAAGAAAAAGGGCATGGGAAACTCAGTAAACAGCAGGTGGCCGGACTGCTTGTTGTCACATGCATCCAGTGCCTTTATGAGTGACTGAGCATTATTGATACAGGTGCATTTTTTTATAGCCTGCTTTATATTAGGAATCACAGCTGAAACCACTACATCATATTTGTCTGTGATTACAGCTGGAAGTCATATCAAAGAAAGATCAGAAACTCGGGTGTGCATTATTCATTAGGAGGGGCACGTGGAGATACACTTTGGTCCAATAAGAGGTCACGATAGGAGGTCCAAGGCTAAGGAGAGTTTTCTATTGGTAGTGCGGGAATAAGTGTGCGGGGTTATGCAAATACTTGAGCAAAAACAAGCCGAGAGCGTGCAGTAACACGAGCGAAAGAGGAGTCCGGGGAACTCTGGAAGTGTGGACACGAGAACGAATGGACCGACAGACTCGGGCGTAGGCCAACAGCAGAAAGAAAGCCTGTGGCACCAGGTAGGAATAATGTCACTGCACTCGGCTGTCATTACAACCTAAATGTGTGCTCTAAGAAACTTTTAGGTAGCAAAAACGGTTTGTTTGCACATAAACACACCCGTATTTGAGCGCTGTGGGCTTTTGCACTAAAGACGTCTGTGATTCCTGGTACTCAGTGCTGTCTAGCCTCTACAGAAGTGCACTGCAAGGGTTTAGCTCAACTCTTGTATATTATATAGGCAGAAAAACACGCGATCGTGGACTTTGTCTGTAGTATCACTAATTATAACAGTGATCTGTTGCAACATTGAAGTAGCATTGATCACAGTGCAGTATCTGGTCACAGGTAAAGGAGAGAGCACAGTTTCTATAGCTATTTCCAGAGATTTTCAAAAAACACGTGCAACACTTTCAGCTTTAAACAACTATATGCCACACAGTCGTCAGCTCTTTACAGATCCAGCTGCAGCTGTCCGTGGTGAGCTTCACACAGCTGGTTTGTATGACAGGGAAACCTGGGTGCGCCCAGCCAGAGCCACAAAGAGGCATCAGCTGATTCTTCACCTGTGACTGGGGATCATGTTTGATGATTAATTATGTTTTTCTGTCTGGATCTGTTCATGTTACTGTATAATAAATATTTTATAATGATGCCTGGGATGTTGATGTGAATTAGAATTTCATGTATCTGTCCTTGTGCAACATGAATAATATCTGCTGTATTTTTTCTTGCCTTTGCACAATGATTTGTTTGTTTAAATACGCTGGTGTGTACTTGTTTGTAGGTCTATTGTTAGTGGCGGTTAATGATGGAGTCCAGCAGCGAAACCAAGAGGATGACCTCTTACCTCCCAAGCAAACCCTCAGCTGAGAACCAAAAGCTGACCTCACCCAGAGAACCAGGTATGAACAGCCACTGATGTTGTCTTTTATCAGGTTTAAAAGTGTGCATGTGCATGTTCCGTTTAGAGCTTATATCTTACGTCATTTAAAAGACTAAATAGGGTTTAAAAAAAGGGGGATTCTCTGCTGAACATTGCTAAACACTTAAATCCCTAAGAATGCATATAGTGAAAGTCAGTGTTGGCTGTCCCTTAGAGAAAGAAGATGTAGATGATTGCTCAAGGAATACTGTCTAGATGTGGAACTGAGATGTAATAATTTGGCTCAACATCTGGAAAACTCTGCAAACCTGCTTCTTAGAATGGATACATGAATCCTATGATTATTAAGCTGGAGCAAAAGAAAGGCATTTGCTGCATGAGCAACTTCTTCACATTAGCTGTTGCTCAAACACTCATTTATGATTAAGCCAAAACATGTTTATGACAGCTTTTTATGCTTGAGTCCTGGTCATGCTGACCTTGGTTGCACAATAGCAAAAACGTTGCACGGGCTCTTCACAAGTATCCATCCATAATGTTAAAAACATAACCCAGTCAGCTTCATATGTGACTAAACTACACGCTAGAAATATAAGTCACTAAACTGAGATATATTGATTCTCCAAGTAATAATTTGCATCAATCAGGAGCTAGGTTTAGCTCAGCATCCAGATAACCTGACAAACCCGCTTCTTAGAATAGTTTAATGAATTGCAGGATTACGGAGCTGAGCTTCTCGAACAGTGATTTATGATTAAGCCAAAAGGTGCTGATGTCTGATTTCTTGTGTCTCAGTCACGACGTATTTATGTGCCAAAAATGTGACACAAATTCTTCACATAATGCCCACCCACTGTTTGGAAAAACATCAGTCACCTTGCTATTTGCCTTCACTACATGTTGGAAAGAGTGCATTTTATGATAATCAGATACTGAAGTGTGGTACTGCCAGGCTTACACTTGACCTGGATGCAGAAGCAAACACTTTGCTTTCACTGCACTGGCTCTGCTGTACATGGACTTCATTGGTAGTCAGATAAGGACAGCTAACAGGTCACGGTAGGCCAAAAAACATTTCCCAGTGGTGGACCCTCCAGCCACAGTAAACGTGTGTTTGTGCGTCTAAGGTAGGCTAGCATATGGTTGGAAATAAACAATTCCTTGTTTCAAATTAAAAAAAAGTGGGGTTGTTCTCTAGAACAGTATTAGCAAGTGCGCCAGTGTGAATTTTGAGTTAAGGTATCACAGGCTGTGACATGCTAACAAATGACATAAAATCCTATTATTAGACAACCATTTCATGGAAATGACTGATATGAGGCTGAGTGCTGGGGTTGCAGCTGAACTGTCAAAGCAAACTTCGTAGCATTTAATAGTTTGCAGCTGTGTTAGCTTTCCTTGAATCGTGTGTAATAAAATCATATGTAATCATATCTAATAAAAGCTCTCACTAGTGTGGTCGTTAGATACACATTTGTGTTTATAGCTTTAGAAAGTACAGTTAATAACAGGTGCAGGGATATTATCACCTAATGTAATATAACTAATGATGCATTATGTAAGATAATGCTAAAGTCATCTTCTTCCTCTTTCATCTGTAACAATAATCTATTAGTCAACGTGAAGCACTCCTAGCACATGTTCACAAACACACAGCCTTACCAGATTGCTTCATTCTTCTTCTGATCCTTGACCACTAATTCCACACAGTCAGCACTAATAAAGTGACTTCATGGTCGGGTGAACCTTCTGAGGACTCTTCGTAAACCCTGACTTGACTGAATATTTGTTACTTAAGAGTTTTTTTGTTGTGGAAGGTGAACGGACACAGTACCGCATTAGCTTACGCAATATCATCTACTGCCCCTCCACACTCTGTTTACCAAGTTCTTAATCCTGCATATGAGCTTGACAAGTTATAAACAAGAACATATTACAACACTCTGATTCTGATCCATACAGGTTGTTTGTATTACTGTTTAAATGTGAGGCACAACAAAGCAGTGTTAAGAAGATGGCATCCATTCTCGAATACAGTTATTTTTTTAAATCTAAATGTTTAACTATTTATTAGTTTGCAAGTAAACCTTTTTCAGATCAAACATGTCTAGGACATACTAGTTCAAGATGTTAATATTTCCTACTAGTCTTTGCAACAGGCCATAACCACCAAATAAAAAGGACCAGCGGTTGCTTGTAGCTGCTTAAGGGATATTATCAAGTATACATAAAATTCTCATGAGCCTTTGTTAAAGATACAGAGGTTAATCTGTTTAATCGAAAAATAATAATATTGTACTCACTAAGATAGGTAAGTTTATAATTATATATCCTAATTTTGTATAAATTATGAATTGATACATTTGCAAAAACTTAGAATTAATACATTAAAAATACACAGAAACAGTTTGTGGAAGCAGCCATGTCATTCCACCACACTGAATAAAGTGGTCGTCCCTTCTAATTGTGTTTTGGCAGGACAGCCTAACACGACTGCACCCCCGTCAACTGCTGGTTATTAGCATTAGTATCTCACGGTCCCTCTGGCAAACAGTTTGATTACATTCACACATCGTATGAGAGTTTATTTGCTAAGTGTCCGAATCCAACACTGTTACATTCACACTCACTACAACTGAACAGCAGTCAGAGACATTTGTTCTATTGTGGCCACCATAGCTAGGATGGTGGACTTGAATTGGGAGGGATAGGAAAACAGTTCAGTTGATTGCAGTCTCCAGTCTACAGACATCTAGTGGTAAGATTTTACACACTGTAACTTTAATAAATGAAGCCACAGCACTGTGTCCTTGCATAAGAAAACATTAGATGGTATCAGATCACCTTAAGTGAGTTTTTAATCTTTTGAGGTAGTCAAATGCTATATAAAAACTTTTAATCTTATCCGGTTTACAGGCAGATACATGTGTTCTGGAAGCTGTTTTAGGAATTGGGTAACATGTTGTAAAAGCATTTTACCTGGGGCAGAGTCCGTTTTGTGGCCAATCAAATAAGGTTCAACCTGTTCCTCCATTCTAGACTAAATGGCTGTTTCTGGCGATGGCATGGGGGTGCAGTGATTAGCACCTGTGCAGGAAACATCTGGCTTTGTATGTTGAAACTCCAAAGTGATGTGTGTTAGTTTAGCTGATTTATTTCTAAGCTGACTGTAGGTATGAGTGTAAATGACTGTTAGCCTTGTCATGGATCCCACCTAGAATGAACAGGGATGATGTCGGGACACGTTACTAAGGCCAAAAAAGGCATTATTGACACATATTGTGACTTCATTCTTACATGCCATTTTCCCTGTTGAGCGGCATTGACTTGAGCCAGTCCAAATGTGGAACTTTGTCACAGAATGTGGGACAAGAGGACCTGGATACTCTAGACGCACCTCTTACCTTATGTAGCCCACAACCCTTTCTCTGTATTTCTCTGTATTACTGATAATGTTCGAAAAACACAACACAATAAAACTAGGCCCACTTGCTGGGTTAACCTACAATCTTGGTCTTGTTTTTTTGGGACAAAAAGTGAAGCTTGGAGATTGGAAACTTGCACTTGGCGCTTAATTCAGTATAGCTATCATCTTAAGATACATTCTTTCACTGTGTTCTCTGTATTTCTGTCCCTTTCTGCAGGCTGCAGCTGGCTGGTGGTGGTTGCAGCCATAGCGGCCTCTCTGAGCGGCCTGATGTTGGGCTACGAAATGGGGCTGACTTCTGGGGTCCTGCTGCAGCTGCGGGGCCTCCTCTCTCTCTCCTGCAGGGAACAGGAACTGCTGGTCAGCTCCCACCTGCTCGGTGCACTCCTCGTCTGCCTGGCCGGAGGAACATTTTTAGATCGCTATGGCCGACGCTGCTCTTTGCTTCTGAGTGCTGTTCTAGTAGTTGGCGGCACCGTTGTGCTCATCGCTGTGGCTTCTTTTGTTGCACTGACACTTGGCCGTGTAATTGTGGGCATGGGAACATCTCTTTCAGGGACAGCAGCTTGTTTGTACATTGCAGAGATCTCACCGAGGGAGAGGAGGGGTCTCCTGGTGACGCTGTACGAGTTGATGTTGGTTGTTGGTGTAATGCTGGGATTCGGCTGTAGTTACGCCTTTGCTACCGTACCTCATGGCTGGGTCTATACATTTGGACTAGTAATTCCTCCAGCACTCCTGCAAATAGGTGCGCTCATATTCCTCCCACCCAGTCCACGCTTCCTCGTTGCTCAGGGCAAAGTGGAGCGGGCGAAGAAAGTGTTGGCCAGAATGAGATGCGTAAGTAAGGAGCGTGTGGAAGTGGAGCTCAGGGATATCCAGGTTGGACTGAAAGAAGAATCAGAGCATAGCTTCTTGGAGCTTTTCAGTGCCAAAGCTAATCTGCGTTCACGGCTCCTAATAGGTGTGGCCTTAGTCTTCCTCCAGCAGGCTACTGGACAGCCCAACATCCTTTCCTATGCTTCGCCACTTCTCCGCAGCGTTGGCTTCAACAGTGATGCTGCAGCAACCCTGGCCTCCACGGGGTTCGGAGTCGTAAAAGTAGTTGGTACCATCCCTGCCGTGTTGCTGGTCGACCGATTGGGACCCAAGAGCTTTTTGTGTGTGGGTGCTGTCGCTATGGGATTGTCGCTGGCTGCCCTTGGTACATTGACTCTACAAAGTCACACTCACCTCACAAGCCTGTGCAATAGCCAAAGCCCTCTAAACAACACGCATATGCCATGGGATTTAAACGAAACCTTCACAGACTTTGAGAATAGTGGCACTTTGTCTACCCACCTGGAAAACCAGTGGAACACTGAACAGGTGCAGGGGCTCAAAACAGAGAATGATGCAGTGTGGGAATCAGTAGGAAGAAGGACTCTTGTTGAAGTGTCTTCCTCACTGAAGTGGGCGTCATTGATCAGCCTGCTGGTGTATGTGGCAGCCTTCTCAATTAGTCTTGGACCAAGTAAGTACCCGTACATTATGGTTCACATACACATGCAGTGTCTCTGTATTTATCTAGAGACTGGATATATAAGATGGACATTGCTTCTGAGTCTGAAAAGTGAAGCTAACTCATTTGCTTCAAACATGCATTTTTTCTAATGGACGACTTCCGTGGTTGCAAAAACCACTTCCTGTTATTTAGAAGTGTATGGAAAGTTAATCCAATGTTTTCGGCATTGGTAAAAACACTTTCCTGGGCTCAAGTCAAGTTTTTCCTCTTATTAAAGTTTGAATTAATGAATGATCATGACATCTGGTTTCAAAAATCTGAGATGGAAAGCAAATATAGTCAGCTTATGGTAAGACAGTGAGATTTCATTAACTCTCATTAACCTTAAATGGTTAAGGGAATGGTTATACACAGTCTTCCATGTGTGAGCATTTTGCTACACTTACATTTTTTGGCATCCAGCAGCAGGGCATTCCTTCCCAGTGTTAATCCTTGTAGTGCTATATAAATAAAACGAGTTAGACTGAGTTTCTTATACCCCTCTTTTTTTTGTCCTTTATCTCTTTTTAGTGGTGTACGTCGTTCTCAGTGAGATCTTTCCGATGGGAGTCAGAGGTAGAGCTGTATCGGTGGTGTCAGCTGTAAACTGGGCCACAAATCTGCTGATCTCCATGACCTTCCTCACCATCACGGGTGAGTACTTTATTACTTATAATTTATAAATTGTAGGTTCTAGCTAGTTGTGGTATGTGCTATACTTACAGCAGCTATACTTACACGACACCAACTCTCTGCCACCTACAATGCCGCATTGAGATCCTTTCCCTGGTGCCTCAACCCCCACTCACATCTTACATCAGGTGATCTCATTGGGTCTCACAATGGTTTCACCTAAAACCTCTGGTGATAATGAGCCATGCCTTTTTTCATACCTTGCCTCATGTGGTGAGACACATGATCAATCAACAAACCAAACAGAAATTTCCAGCTGGGTTTAAATACCTGGGACTCTCAACCATTTGGTTTTAGAACTGAACAAGTTTCTTGGATGAGAAGTGAAACATCTTTAAGAAACTTAAAGACTTGAACTTAAAGTCGAATCGCTTTCTTTTCCAAGCTCCTTAGACTACCATGGCCTGAACGACTGAGAGCCTACACTGACATGTATTTGCACCAGACATGTTTAAACTAGTGCAAGAATTCACAGAAACTCTGTAAAAATTAACACAGAGTTTCTGTTTGACAAGTGATAATCATTTTAAAAAACACATTTTTACAATTTTACTATCCTCCAACAGAACTGCCAAGATCAAGCCCAAGACCACACCTAACCCAATTAGTTAGTGTTCACATTTTGGCATCTCTTTATTTTAGCACCTGGTTGGCATTGTTTGCCAAACATTTGCCTATATAGTGGACCTAAACTAGGTTATGCAGCTATATTTTAAATGTTACTTTATTAGTAACATGTAAAAATGAAAATACATAGTCGTCATACAGAAAGAGACAGGGTAAACCCTAGACAAATTCTCATTATGTCAGAAAACAGACAAACCCAGACTTTTATATTCATACTTGTGACTAATTTGACTTTAAATCGTTAATCTTGTGGAAAGAAACAGAAGCGTCCAGAGGTTTTTAAATAAGAAACCTTACTATGAGCGTTACCAGTGCATCGCTGTGTTGCCCAAATGTCAAAAATGAGAAAAGTTCAAAGCAATTGCAGACCTGTTGCTCTGGTTTCCTAAAATGCCAAATGTTTGTGTGTATCTTTTATGATTGACAAGTCTGGACTGCAAGAATGAAGCCAGTTTAGCTCCTGGACTCTTTTACTTTTTAGTCATACTATTGTAACAATGCGGTATGTGTATGTTTTGACATTGTCTTTTTTAAGTAAGCATAGCATTTAAATACTGCTCCCTGTCATATGTAGGGTGGCTACACAAACAAAGCTCAAAGCAGTCCTACCATTCATGCTAAAGGGCAAGTTCCAAACTGTATAATTACTGCTGCAACATGCAAATTAGGGACCTTTTGTCTCCTTATGTAAGTCAGTCTGTAAGTCTGACAGGTAAATATTTAATTAAAAAAAGGGAACACTCAGAGGTGTAGTAGCGCTATTTAGTGTGTGACAAGTAGTGTTGCTATGGTAACACAAACAGTCAAACATTTTTGCTTAATCAGCTGAGTTACTGCGCTATACTGTTTGAAGATTTTTGTTTAAGCGTGGTTTGGCAATGGCTTGCTGAAATAAGCAAGAACTTCCTTGAAGTAGATGTTGACCAGATGGCAACATCTGATGTCCTTGTATACATTGCTCAGCTATAATCCATTCAAAGATGTGCAAGTTATGCATGTCATATATTGTAGTGCACTCATATGGTCTTACAAATTCCTGAACTCATGGTGCAAATTTCAGTTTTTGCTTTTAATACGCTGCTGCCTGAACATTGTGGGCAATCATGGAACTTAATTGTTATCCCAGGTTTCATAGTAAGATAGTGGTATATAGCTTGGACGTGTTGTTGGTCTATTGAAGGAAAATGAACATGCGTATAAAATTCATCAGTATCAACATTTGGACTTTTTAAATTAAATTTGGATGATTTGCAAATCATTTCTTATTTATTTTATTTTTTTACATAATGTCTCAATTTTTTGGGAAACGGGGTTGCTTATGCAGCAAGTATGGTATTGCATTATATTAATTGTTTCGTTTTTTGTTTTTTAAAGAAAACATCGGTGTGCCCAATGTTATGTTCCTGTACTCCACCATGAGCTTTGTTCTGCTGGTATTCGTCGTCCTCTTTGTCCCTGACACCAAAGGTCGCACACTGGAGGAGATCTCAAAAGAGCTAGCTAAGAAGTGAGTGGTAACACTTCCTAGCTAAATTTACCCTTTACCCTTCATTTTAATTTTCATATTTATTTCCTATCCTATTCAGTCTTTTTTTCTTTAGGTCACGAGCAGTCTAAGCATTTCACTGCATATCGTACTGTGTATGACTGTGTATGTGACAAATAGAATTTGAATTTGAACATTCGACGTCTATGCCATCAACATCTAGTAAACTGGTTTGTGAAAGTGATTTTTACCTTCTGTTTCTCCCCTCCCTGTTTAACAGGAAGACTTTTAAGGTGAGAATTTCCAGGCCGGTTCAGCCTCAAGAGAGCCTGATCAGGGACAGCAAACCTACACAACAACTGTCCTGAGAGTCAAGAGCAACGATCAAGACAATATACAATCAAAAATATCCATATATCTAGAATAATCCTTTAATTGTCCCACAAGGGGAAATTTGGTTGTAACAGCAGCCAAAAAGACACATATACAAACAAACAGTACACAGGACACGGAACAGAAACATACACAATTTTTCTTACATATTTACATTAAGGACAATGGTTATTATAAACAGAGTACTGTACAGTTATTAAATTAAATAAAAATAACTACAGGTAAGAGGCAAACCAGGTTGTAGTGCGAATTGGTTAATTAACTTATTGCAGTTACAGCGCAGATGTAAACATCTATGTTTGTTGGGAGCAGTTCTGATTGTACAGTCTGACAGCTGCAGGGAGGAAGGACCTGTGGAAACGCTCCTTCATGCATCTAGGATGCAGCAGTCTGTCACTGAAGGAGCCTGCAGTTCAGCAACAATCATCTCATCTACGTCGCTATATTGGCTGTAGTTACAGCTGTTTCTTGATGATGATGATGCCCACATGTGATCCCATCATGGAGCCTTTGATTTTTTTTAAATGAGCATAGCTAGTATTATATTCTAGTATTAATTGCTATATTCAAGAAAAAGCAAATCTTTTTCTCAGATTTCCATCAGTTTTTACATTTTTTTTTCTCCGTTTTGAGTAAAAAAAAAAAATTCATCTAGCAAATCTGGCATTATATTAACTAAAATCAAACACCAATAGCCCAAACTGGTACTCGTTCTTTGGAGGAGGGCAAGCTTATTCCTAAGCACAGTGTCATTTTATTGGTGCCCATTGTTATATTTAACGTGGTACACAAGGGCCAAACCAGTCATACCAGTTATGTTAGTGGATGTGTTCAAAACCCACATGAAATATGGAAGGAATTGTTTGTCTCCTCATTTGCATTTTATGGGAACACGCAGCTAGCTGTGTAAGACCGGCTACTGAATGTTTAAAAAGAATCGGCGAAAAAAAGCAAATCACGAGGTTCAGGAGCCATGTTTGGCATGAATTGTGATTTAGACCGATTCCTTCTTTTATTTTTTATTAGTACGATGCTGTAATGAGTTTAAGAATACAAATTCTATAGCGGATGCCCTATGCACGAGTAAAACATTTACATTTTATAACCTGTACTTTGACTTACATCACCTTTTAAATGTTGCAATGTGTGTTTGCAAAGCCTGACATGGAAATCTCAGTCGTTAATGACAGTATGGAAGACATTCTAGGGAAAAAAAAACCAAAAAAACAAATCAACTGGGAAGTGCCTTCTCCACATGTACTCGGGATATGTTCACACACACAAAAACAATGTCATGCAAAGGGGAGCAAACACACCACACAGTAGTCCACTGGTTGCCTGTTCACTTTTATTTTTTTTTATACAAAATACAAAAATCCAAGTGCCACAATTTTTCAGTTGACACTAGTTCAAAAAGTACTCCATCATACACACATTTAAACAGCATGTCTAAGCTTTTAATCAACATTTTTTCTATCAGATGCATTTATATACATACATACATGTTGCCTTTATGCCTGTCCAAACACTCATGGTTGCCTCAAGAATTCACATGAATGTATTACGAAACCTTTTCGACAAGTGTTAGTGCTGCCATACAACTTTGTACGACTCCACAGAGTGGCTGCTTTTGTAATTATGAGTCAGTTACTTTTTCATGTTATGTTTTTGCTACTTTGTGTGTGTGTGTGTGTGTGTGTATACTGGCAATTGTGGACAGTGTTTTAATGATTTCTTAGTCCTCTGCTAATAAAAAAATCTCCTCAATATTGTCTAACAAGTGGTTGTGTTCAATGAACAGCTTAACTCGTCACTTGAAAACTGAAAATATTCTTAACCTTTGAGAAGTGTTCAACATGTCAAAACATTAAAATACATCAAGCATATTTGCAAAATGTTCTTAAAACTATTAAGAAACAACAAGAAATGAAATGTGCCTTATTGTGAACAAAAGGAAGTAAATTTGAGGTGTGTTTAAGTTGTAAGTGGATGTGTTTCTGCATATCGGCCTGCTCTTACATTGTGTACACTGATAATATTCCACTTCTCTGTCTGCTGTTTTTCTCCTTTAGCAATAACACGGGTAATACAGAGTACCTGTGCAGGACTTTTACAAACCTTGGACGGCGGTTTTTATATATATATATATGTATATATATATATATATATATATACATATAGCCAAATCTTAAATAGTTTCAAAATGGTCTTTAACTGTCCATGCAGAGACATCCAAAAGCAAATAAGCTACAGCAAATAACTTCCTGCCTCTTCACTGTCAGGTGAGGAGGACGGGTGCCTGCTGAAGGATATTAAGTTTGGAAGACATTTGCAGGTTTAGGCTGTTAAAATCACAAGATCCCAACAACTCCACAACAACGTTAAAATTTTGTAAAAAATAACGAGGACATTTTAGGACGTTACAAGTGTGGTATTCCAAGCCCAGCCTATGAATGAGTTCAGACGTTTGTGGCTGTTGCCACATAGTGATGAAACCAAAGCAAGCAATTCCAAGGATAAGGTGCTTCTTCGTCCGTTTTGAGTACTCAATAGCTCGAGTCCTTAGTCTTGTATCGTTTCATTTGCAGCGGGGTTTCTGACACTCAAACAGTAGCGGGTAGACTTGCTCCACTGCTGTGGCCACGTTCTGGACATTTGGTCCTAAGCCATCCAGTGATGGTGTGAAAGCAGAAAAAGATCAGCAAAAATATATCAGGACAAAGAAAAAACAACAGAACTGGAATAGAAGCTTTAAAAAAAAAAAAAAAGGAAAAAAAAGACCGCCTTGGGTTTCAACTTTAGCCTGATAAACAGTGCACCACACGAAAGGAAGCACAAAAAACAATTTCGCTTGAGTAAAATTCTTGGAGGAATTGGGTTATTTACAAACCGCTTTCCTCATTGAAACAAGTTATAAAATGCTTTCATTTTACATGACCTCAATCCCTTAAGCCAATGTGCCTTCTTAGCTGTACATAAAAAGGGGTAAGATACTTAATGTGTCTGTGTGTGTTGAGCCTCGTAAGGAGTGAGATACCTGTAACTGTGAGGCTGCCAGTTGAGAACACTTGTATAGTCGCCTTTAGATTTTTGATCCTGTATGTAGCAGCTGGGTGGAGCTCAGGTTCATAACTGTAAATGGTAAAAAGTTTTTAGTACATGTGTGCACATCGGCAAAGTTATACCTACAGCTTTGTGAGTAACGGACTTGATGCATGTTTAGATGCCAGCCTATATTCTGTCAGATAGCATGTACAACAGTAATCCAAATCCAACAACTAGAGTACACACACACATACTTCTTCAGCCTGCTTGCTCCACTGTAGTGTCAGGTACATGCACTCAATGCGGTGAGGTTTACTCTAACCACTAGAGGTCATCCTCCACTAGCAAACATTAAACTTTTATTCCCCGTTCACTTTGCACATTATTGCTGCTCATGTCAGGACTTGAAATCACAGTTGTCACTATTTTCTTTCAATATGGTATCACACCATGAAGCTAACGACCCAAAGAAAACAGCAGAAAGCAATAAGACTGTGGATAAACATATGCTACAGCTTGATCAGGATAGTTATAATGACGATGACAATGATGGCATTGATTTTAATTAATGTTGCAACAGTTGTGACTTAGCAGCACTGCATTACCTGGCAATGGGTCGGTTATTCTTCGTGAAGTTTATAAGATTGACTGCAAATGGCATGGAGCACACTGCCAGCACATTCACAACTTTGAAGGCTGAAAACCTCACCTGAACAGACAGCATAAACATATGAGACACAAAATACACGCATTTATGAGTTTACACTTCTTTTTATTTTAGGTCCAATAATTAAAGGAGAAATCCAGTTTAGGTCTTATGGCCTTAATGTAGATAACTGCAGTTTCAGGTAGTTTGAGCTTTGTGACACTGTGCGTTACCCTGCTAGTAACAACCATCAGAAGATGGGGACTCTGTGGTCTTAATAGTTGGGACAACGTTCAGGTAGGCTGAGTTTAAACAAATAACAGATTGACTGTGTATTTCCATGCAAAACCAGCTGCTGTGATTATTCTTACCTTGAAGCCTAGTTTCTGCAGACAGCGTGCTAACCTGCGAGCACCGAGCTTTGCCTCATCCTCACTTTAAAAAAAAAAAAAAAAGAAGGAAGAGAAAAGAACGGATAAATGGCAGCATAACTCAGTGAAATGAATTCCTTGGTATACAAACCATAATCAGAAACTAACATCTTTTTGAGTAATTAAGTAATACTTACAATCCAAACCTCTAAACTGGGCTAATACAGATGAGGACAGAAGTATTATTCATGCACATTCTAGTTTTACTTGGGCTGCTTATATTATTTGACTTTGCACAGAGAAATAAAAATATTTGACAAAAACTACCAGGGTTAAAATCATTAGCCTCCCGACGCCAATTTTCAATTGCGTGGATGCTGCTGGATAACAGTCTCCAGTCATTAATTGGAGTTTTCAGTCCTTAATCTGACCAAAAAATTCACTTTAAGTATGTATAATCCTTCTCCAGGTTGTTCTTAGCATGTTTCAGTTTGCCCTAAGATGTCTCTTCTGCAGAAGTAGAGCTTTTCTTGGTCTGTATCCTAGTGAGTGTCTTCTTTGTTACCACAATTCTTGACTTGGCTAAGTCAGTCACTAGTGTCTTTGGAGTTGGTCTTTAGACACATCTGTCACGACTTTTCTTTCCAGAGTGTTTGCAATCTTTTGCTTCCTACCTTTGCCACACTTGTGTAAGTACTCTGTGGCTCTCTTTGAATTTCTTGATGATATCCAATGTGATAACTTTGTATATTCATTTCCTGCTTTGTGAGCATAAACAATTCTTTTTCTCAAGTCCGACCCGATTTCTTTTGAGTTTGGCATGATGCTTTCCCAAGTGACAGCTCAAACCCTTGTTGAAATTTCTACACTGCTGATAAATTGAAACATAGTTATACCAATTTAGTATTTAGTTTACTCTGTACTTTTAAATTAAATCAAAACTTTTAAATTTCATTCGGGGGACTAGTAATTCAGCTCTCATGTGAGAGAAATGCTAACTGCATTAGTTACATATGATAAGGGACGTAGCAGTACAGCCCCACAAATAAAGTAGCAAGACTTCTGAGGCCAAAAGAAGCAAATAATTTGACATTTAGTTAGGTATAGGTGTGTGTATCCATGTTGCATTATGAGTGTCAGTCTACCTTGTTGCTCCAGTGCAGATGATTTTCCCTGAAGACCAGATTGAAGCAGTTATCATTGGTTTACGAAGCTTCATCAGGACTTTCTGAGGACAAAAAAAGAGAAGTCACAATTTCATGTCTCAGTTCTAACTGTTGACATGAATGCAGCATTCTCTAGTTTCACCAATAACAATACACTTACCCCTACTTCTGGCTTATAGATGACATTTGTTCCTTCTAAGGCAATGGTGCGGAGGTTGAGGTGACACCGAGTCCGAAAGGTTGCCACCACATTGGTGATAATAATATCAAGTGCCTCATCATTGCTTGAATCCATGGGGAAGTGTGTGGTGCAGCAAGAGGACCACAGAGGTTTTTCTTCTCACTTATTCATGAAAAATGCCACCCCTCACCATTATTGCACCGATGGGAAAGGAGACAAGATGGGCTAAAAAACAAACAAACAAAAAAAAGACCCAAATGAAGCCATTTTTCAAATATTTCTGAAATTTAAAATCAGAAATACTTCAAGGGGCATTGCACTACACGAATGAATATGTATTCATTCATTAATAAAAATATGTATTGCGGTGCCTGCTCTATATCAGAATTTTGCAGATGTATTTTGTGTTTGCTGAATTCATGAGTCCAGTTAGTATGTTAGTGTAAGTAAAAATGCTAAGAAGATTGGTTATCACCTCAGTTGCACACCACCATCTAATTATCTCCTCGCCCGCAAGGTGTTCTCCTCCACTTGAAAGACTTGACTGTGTCTCAAAGCACGAATCACTCAGATATCTGCAAGAAAATATTATTTTGTCAATTATTATTCTTTTAGCTGAGCGTCCAGCTAATTTCCCGACAAAAACCGATACAGACTAACACGTTAGCTACTTTCTACTGCTACTAACAACCAAGAAAGTAACAGCAAAATATGACCCTCGACGTCAATAATTCGTTACTTATAGACACGTTTAATGTATAGACCGTTGCTTTGTATTATAAACTGCGTTATAGCTCATGCAACTGATAAGCTTGCTTGAGGAAATGTTGCTAGCTAATCGGCAACTAATTCAACATAACTACATGCACTGAGTCGGTGTTTGCGCTAATAACTGCACTAATATGGGATTGTAAGCAAAACAAAGAGGTAACGACATTTCGCAACTGCTCAGCTAGCTAATGTTGTGAAGAGGTCTTTCCGTTAGCTAGCAACAAAGAAGAGTACACAGGCAGCAATGAATGAAAAGTTGTCAGCTATGCTAACTAGCAGACTAGCTGTCTAAAGCAAGTTAACGGCTGGTGTTTGTATCTTAAGAATCCAGCTACCGCTTTCGCTTTTTCTGTGATGTTATTCCAAAACACAAATAAGGCGGATAATAGTAAAATTTGTGGACAAACCACTTCCTCCGCACACAAACAAGCAGTAACAAACACGACACCTTCCGCTTCTGTTTTACAAAATAAAGCCGCTCCTAGTGGGCGCTAAATTAACGTCAACTTCCGGATCGTAAAATAAAATATAATTTAATCAGAATCAGAATCAGAATCAGAATACTTTATTGATCCCTGGGGGAACTTCAAATGCCTATATATTTCTGTTGCGAAGTTGTACCTAGCTGCATACATTAAAAAAAAAAAATATATATATATATATATATATAAATAATACTAACACTGCAAAACAACTGTGCAGCAATAATACAGTTTTTTTTTTTGAAAAAACTATAAACCATCAAAAAAATGAAAAACAAAAATTTAATAAGAACTCCTAATATATAGCTTTGTGTGTAAGTGTGTGTGTGTAAGTGTGTGTGTGTGTGTGTGGGGGGGGGGGGGGGGGGTGAAAACAGACACACTGTTGATCCAAACAGTCAGAGACAGAAACTTTTTCATGTTTATCATGAGCTTGTCAGGAACCTTGGCATGATTTTGGATGGCGATCTTAGCTTTGATAGTCATAATAATAAGGTCACCAGAACTGCATTCTGCCACTTAAAAATATATGAAAATTTTGAAAATTCTTACCTCAAACTGACTCTGAGAAAGTAGCCGATGCATTTATATCAAGCAGCTTAGACTACTGTATTATCCAAATTATCAGTAGGGTGACGTAAACTCATCTAGAATGCAGCAGCCAGAGTCCTGACATGCACATGGAAAGATTACACCAGTACTGAAGTCATTTTATTGGCTTCCAGTTCAATCCAGATTTACCACCAAAATACTGCTATTAGTTCTTTAACCAGTCAGTGACTTTAGCCCCCAGTACAAGTCTGACTTTCTCAGTGTCTATAACTCGATTAGACATCTCAGTCACCATGGATGGAGGTCTTTTAAATTCCCAGAATTAGATCCAATTGGGTTGAGGAGGCTTTTAGTTAGTGTGTGTGTTCTTTAATTTTGTGTCAGTTTGTTTGTTGGTTTTTAACTCGTATTCTATTTCTTTGTAAAGTTTTGTTTTGTTGTTTTTATTGCCTTATGATATTGTAGACCTACATGGATTTTGTTATCAAAAACATGATAATTACATGACCTTTTCCCATCTTTGAAAAGTTAAAGACAAGGTTGTTAGTACCTATACTGCTCCAGGTGACATGAATGTACTGAACCACTGAAAAAGCCTTAACAAAGCTCACTTTAACAGCACATGGAATCACAATCACCTATGACTAATAAAGCATAAAGCATGGTAATAAAGCATATCACAAATATTTAATATTTCATGACTGCCTACCTGCCCTGCAATAGGCTGGGTTACAGCGCATACAAATGTACTGCCTATCCAGGCAGACTAACTGTATGTTGGTTTAAAGCTGTTTGGCACCACCTTGTGGAAGGTTGGCTTTCATAAGAAGGAAAATGAGGCAAATTTAATTTTCTGCTGCTGTGTGCAACCTTTGTCAGTTTTTATGATGTGTTGACATTTAAGACGTGCGGATTAGTGGCATCTCCAAGGATTGTGAATCAGTAAACACTCCCCAGGGAA